TTGTTGCTTTTTTCCCCCCCCCCCCCCCTTTTTTTACACATTTTTGCTTATTGTGGTTTAGTGGTTGAATTCAAACCACTTAACTGCTACAATCTGATTTTTGTTGATCCCAAACCCAACGTCAACCAGGGAAGGAAAACCTAGGTCCCTCAGTAGTGCCCTTTTACCAACTTTTTGGTTGGCAGGGTTCCCCCACCTAATGAGACTACAGAAGAAAAGAAGAGTTGGTACCAACTTCTTCTAACCTCTCAAATCTGGAGGACCTAGTTGCTAGCTCTTTCGTTTTGAGCCACCGTATATGGTTTCACCGGTCTTTGCGTGTGGTCAAAAACAGTGATGGGCCGCAGCTCTGTGCCACTCTCCAGGCTGAGGATGAGCGACCCGTGCCACCGGAGGAGGCTTCATCCCGCCGCGGCACGGAAAGTCACTCCCCGAGTTGGGATTTGTTGTTGTGTATTTTGGACAGACCCACGCGCGGAAGCCGTTCATGAGGGAAAATGTGGCGGTTATTTGGAGTTAGGGAGAACTTGCTGCACCCCACCTGGTTGCACATTTGCTGCTCACTATTTCATGGCTTGCATGTAGTTTGTCAACTGTTCTTTTGTCCGCACAAAGCCGTTCGGCTTGGTGTTAAGTAGCTAGCGCCACCTCGCAAACGATCAGCATTCCTCTTGACTTTGTCAGGGCTCCTTAAAAGATACATTTTGCCACCATTTGAAACATGGCTTTTTCAACACCAAACTAAAGTTGGAACCCGCCATTTTCAAGTTGCAATGTTCAGGTGTACAATGTAAGGATCCCTGTTTGTTTTGCTTCCCTTTTGGTTCCCTTTTGGTACGGCAGAAGACAGGGATGCTTCGCGAAGACCGCCTTTCGGCACATAGGATGCTTCGCTGGCCGCCTTGCGGCAGGAGCTGGAGCTTGGGGCCCGGACTGAGGGGGTGGTGGTTGTTGGTTGGTTGGTTGGTTGGTTGGTTGGTTGGTTGGTTGGGTGGGTGGGTGGGTGGGTGGGTGGGTGGGTGGGTGGTTGGGTGGGTGGGTGGGTGGGTGGGTGGGTGGGTTTGGTTGGTTGGGGGTTTGGTTGGGTGGGTGGGTGGGTGGGTGGTTTGGTTGGTGGGGGGTTTGGTTGGGTTTCGCGGTTTGGTTGGGTTGGGTTTGGTTTTGGTTTGGTTTGGTTGGTTGGTTGGTTGGTTGGGTGGTGTGGGTGGGTGGGTGGGTGGGTGGGTTTGGTTGGTTGGGTTTGGTTGGGTTTGGTTGTTTCGTTGGGTTTGGTTGGGTTTGGTTGGGGTTGGGTTTGGTTTCGGTTTGGTTTGGTTGGTTGGTTATTGGTGGGTTGGGTGTGGGTGGGTGGGTGGGTGGGTGGGTAGGTGGGTGGGTGGGTGGGTGGGTGGGTGGGTGGGTGGGTGGGTGGGTGGGTGGGTGGGTGGGTGGGTGGGTGGGTGGGTGGGTTTGGTTCGTTGGGGGGTTTGGTTGGGTTTCGTTGGGTTTGGTTGGGTTGGGTTTGGTTTTGGTTTGGTTTGGTTGGTTGGTTGGTTGGTTAGTTGGTTGGGTGGGTGGGTGGGTGGGTGGGTTTGGTTGGTTGGGGGGTTTGGTTGAGTTTCGTTGGGTTTGGTTGGGTTGGGTTTGGTTTTGGTTTGGTTTGGTTGGTTGGTTGGTTGGTTGGTTGGTTGGGTGGGTGGGTGGGTGGGTTTGGTTGGTTGGGGGGTTTGGTTGGGTTTCGTTGGGTTTGGTTGGGTTGGGTTTGGTTTTGGTTTGGTTTGGTTGGTTGGTTGGTTGGTCGGTCGGTGGGTGGGTGGGTGGGTTGGTGGGTGGGTGGGGGGGGTGTTGGTTGGTTGGTGGGTCGGTGGGTCGGTTGGTTGGTTGGCTGGTTGTTTGGTTTGATTGGTTGGTTGCTTGGCTGCTTGGTTGGTTGGGTGGTTGGTCGGTGGGTCGGTGGGTCGTTGGTTTGGTTGGTTGGTTGGTTGGTTGGTTGGGTGGGTGGGTGGGTGGGTGGGTGGGTGGGTGGGTGGGTGGGTTTGGTTGGTTGGGTTTGGTTGGGTTTGGTTGGGTTTGGTTGGGTTTGGTTGGGTTGGGTTTGGTTTTGGTTTGGTTTGGTTGGTTGGTTGGTTGGTAGGTCGGTTGGTGGGTGGGTGGGTTGGTGGGTGGGTGGGGGGGGGGTGTTGGTTGGTTGGTGGGTCGGTGGGTCGGTTGGTTTGGTTGGCTGGTTTTTTGGTTTGATTGGTTGGTTGCTTGGCTGCTTGGTTGGTTGGGTGGTTGGTCGGTGGGTCGGTGGGTCGGTTGGTTTGGTTGGTTGGTTGTTGATTGGTTGGTTGGTTGGTTGGTTGGTTGGTTGGTTTGGTTGGTTGGTTGGTTTGGTTGGTTGGTTGTTGTTGGTTGGTTGGTTGGTTGGTTGGTTGGTTGGTTGGTGGTTGGTTGGTGGGGTTGGTGGTCGGTTGGTCGTTGGTTGGTTGGTGGGTCGGTGGTGGTTTGTTGGTGGTGTCGGTTGGTTGGGTGGGTGGGTGGGTGGGGGTGGGTGGGTGGGTGGGGTGGGTGGGTGTGGGTGGGTGGGTGGGTGGGGTGGGTGGGTGGGGTGGTGGGTGGGTGGGTGGGTGGGGTGGGTGGGTGGGTGGGTGGGTGGGTGGGTGGGTGGGTGGGTGGGTGGGTGGGTGGGTGGGTGGGTGGGTGGGTGGGTGGGTGGGTGGGTGCGCGGGCTGGTGGGTGGGTGGTGGTGATGGTGGTGGCTGGTGGTGCTCGTCGTCACTGTCGCTGAGGCTTGTGTTGCCGCGTTTGTTGCTTTTGCTTAGCTTCGCTTTTATACCCCTAATCTTCAAGGTACATAGCTGGTATCGTTTGTTTTGGGTGGGGGAGCTCAGGCCATGAGCAGTCAAGACTTGTAACGCACGTGGAAGCTGTCATGTCTCAGGGTGTTTCGACCTTCACACACCCCAACTTTTGCAAGGAGAAGACCAACAGCGACAGGCCCCAAATTTCCCCTTTTTTGCATGCCTCACATTTGCTTCCATTTGCTGAAATGAGTATTGGTTATTTCCTGTTTTCTCTTCTCACTGGACAACTAGTTGCTCCTTTTTTCCAGGGGGCTCCAACCGCGAATGGACGAATAGGGGTACCCCCCCATTTTGTGGCTTCGGTTTTGCTGTTGGTTTCTTTTTTCACCAGTTCCACCATTTGGGGCCAACCAGAAAGGAGAACCAGAATCGGTTCCACCAAGAATAGGGCCAACCCAGCAGTTCCAGGGTTCCCACAAGAAACGGCGCGCCACCATTTGCCAACCAGAGTCTCGGGTCTTTGGGGCTTGAAACCGGACTGATAGGCCCTCTGGTAAACATGATTTAGGTGAGGTTTTATGTCCACCACTTTTCAGGGGGGCTTCTTTTGCCTCGACGAAAACAAACTGAGACCTCCAGCTTCCTTGACTTGAGACCTGAGGCGGGGAGGCATTCGCGGTGAGGATCTCGGGTGCTCCAGTCAAACGGAACTGCCCAAGGCTGTTCCCGCCTAAAATCACCGGGTTTATCCAGAAACTCACTTGAGCGTGAATTTTTGAATTGGGGATCTGGTGGACGTGAGTTTGGGCTACCTAAATTATTGTTTATGTTTTTGGAGGAGATTTCGGCATGAATTTTAATTGGGGACCCTTTGGTGGACATCATTTAGGTGAGGTTTTATGTCCACCACTTTTCAGGGGGCTCCCTATTAAATTTCACGGCCGCTTCCTAAGTTTCTACCCTTTAGACTTTTTGCGAAGACCAGTTTAGTGGTAAATAACAAGTTCCCCTGGCCAACCTACTTGTGTTTTTGTCAACCCTACACAGTCGTCCGCAATCCGTTTGTTTGTCTATCATTATAGATATTATGAAGATATACGTGAATCAAGCAAGTGCACATGTTCAGGTATATCATGTATGTATGTAATGAACCCATTTGATACTTTTGTTGATAAGCTTTAGAGTTGGATTTGTTCATGTCATCGTGATATTATTTAACTTGCGTGTTGCATACGCATGACACATATCGTTTAGAATGTGCCCATGAACAGGAGGAGGAATATATTGGGTATTAGAAGTATGTTGATTGAAATTGGCAGGATATGTTCGTACATTCCAGTTGCGTAATATTCAATGCACAACAAGTACATTGTATTGGCTAGAAACATAAGAACATATCCAGCGACCAGCCGAAAGCTGGCACCAACGTGCCAGGGTAAGAACTGGATCAACTCACGATCCTGGATTCGAGCCTTACCGGTGTGCTGTGTTTGCGCGCTGTGAGAGGGCGGGGGGAAGTGGATCCTCCATGAATTCAGAGTCTTTTAGGTGCGGGGAAGATGGGCAAGGCCCGGCAAAATACACAAGCTCCCAGACTCGTGGTTTTGGGATTTTGGAAAATGGGCGTGGCGGCACCTGGGTGCTTGCTTCCAAAGGCAAGCCAAAAGCAAACCAAACGTTTTGGGGATCCCTCTGGGGTATTTGGGTGAAGCTCAACCGGAAGTGCTGTGGTTGGTTTCTGTTGGGTTTTTCCTGGCACCGCCCTTGCTAAAACCTGAGCCGTCCGTCTTGAGACAACGTGCCTGCTCATCGATCCCCAGTCTTCTGCCAATTTTTCGGGGTGCTTACACAAATAGAACAAGCTCACCCTGATGAAGGTCCTTTGGGATCCCCGATGCAGGTCTTGGATCATTTTCAGCCATTGTTTTGAGAAGTTCACCAACATACCCTTGGCAATTCTCTAAGAAGGATGCCTGGAAAGGGGCAATGAAGGGGGTGTCAACGTGAAGCTCGCAACTGGCCAAGAAAAGGCGTGCGAACATGGGATGTGCTCATCAGTAGTCATGAAGTTGTTTGGGGGTCAAGCATAGGATTCCAGGGCAGACAGGTGAAGCCACCCAAAGCGGGTGGTTTCGCGCCTGGCGTCCATTTTTGAGCAAGGGTACCAGCCAACAAAACAGAGTCCTTACCTTTGGAATCAACAAACTTTCCAGGTAGCAGTTCGTCTCGCTTTGA